TGTTTCAGTGAAGGCTAAACGTCTAAATTCTGCAGTATGGCGACCTATGAGTCCCATGGATTCTGTAATGAATAATATAGTCGTCAAAAGTTTGTCCTGTTGTGGGTCAAAGCCTCATGTAACAGGGCAGTCAGTGTCCCTCTAGTTGTTCCATAAATACTGCACATAGCTTCAATAAATTTTTTTAAACACGCATCAGAAGGTGTCCTGCTTAATTGTATTGTGTTTGTTTCTTAATATTTTATATTATTATGAAAATGATTAACAGAAGTCATCTAATAAAATGTCTTTCTTTGTAACTTTTCCATGGAATTATACAAAAAAAAAAAAAAAACAGACACAAAAATATTTTCAGACAAACTTAAAACAAGAATCATTTAGACACATGTTAAAACACTCAAACAATAAAATATATATAACTATATATATAATATTAACTTTTTTTGTTTTAGCATAATATTTTTGTACAATATTAAAGTAGACCATTTACTTGAATTAAATATGTTTACTATGTAAATAAAATCACATTTGTCATAATTTTAATTAGATGCAAATACCATAAATAAATCATATCAAAGCTATATACAGTTGAAATCAAAATGATTTACCCTTCTGTAAAATTTTCATTCTTTTAAAAATATTTCACAAGTGTTTCTTAATGGAGAGATTTTTCCCAACACAATTTAAACAATCCTTTTAATAACTAATATCTAATAAATCATTTCTGTCTTTGCCATGAAGACAGTACATAATATTTTTCCACTTCTTTTGCAAGATACAGTACGTGTATTCAGCTTAAAGTTCCCCTGCAGGCACAGGACGTCAACATGTCATCATATTGAAGTTGTACCCCAATGTACCCCAATGTCATGGGGACATTGGATTTTGTTTAGAAATGGAAATCGGGTTCCGACGTCAGGCTGACGTCAATGTTCAACCTAAAATCAACCTAAAACTAACCAAATATTAACATCTAATTATGTTACACCTTGATGTTGTGTGGACATTACCACTATGAGATCTATCAGACGTTGAATTTTGGTCACTTTTCAACACAACCTGTAATCATAAATATCAAGGTAATTTGACATCGTTATTGGACATCAAAATAAAGCTGTCCTTAGATGCTGACTAGACATTGAATTTTGGTCAACTGACATCATGACCTAAATCTAACCTAATAGTCACGTCTTATGATGTTGTTTGCCTGCTGGGTCAATTTAAAGACTACTATATTATGTTAAGTAGGCAAGGCAAAAACTGTAAATTTTGACTTCAACCATAAGCTGTTTTATAAAATAATTGGAGAGATTCATTAAAAGAAAAAATATAAATATACATATAGTTGAAGTCAGAATTATTAGCCCAGCTGAATTATTAGCCCCCATTTTTCCCCCCCTAATTTTGGTTTAATTGAGATTTTTTCAACACATTTATAAACATAATAATTGTAATAACTCATCTCTAATATCTGATTTATTTTATCTTTGCCATGATGGCAGTAAATTATATTTGATTAGATATTTTTCAAGACACTTCTATACAGCTTAGAGTGACATTTAAAGGCTTAACAAGGGTAATTAGGTTAACTTGGCAGGTTAGGCTAATTAGGCAAGTTATTGTATATGATGGTTTGCTCTGTAGACTATTGAAAAAATATAGCTTAAAGGGGCTAATAATTCTGATCTTAAAATGGGTTTAATTTTTTTAACTGCTTTTGTTCTAGCCAAAATATAACAAATAAGATTTTCTCCAGAAGACAAAATATTATCAGACATACCGTGAAAATGTATTTGCTCTATTAAACATCATTTGTAAAATAACAAAAAAAAAAAAAAGAAAATTCAAAGGGGGCTAATAATTGTGACTTCAACTGTGTGTGTGTGTGTGTGTGTGTGTGTGTGTGTGTGTGTGTGTGTGTGTGTGTGTGTGTGTGTGTGTGTGTGTGTGTGTGTGTGTGTGTTCGTGTGTTTGTGCATGCGTGTGTGTGTGTGTGTGTGTGTGTGTGTATGTAAATATATATATATATATATATATATATATATATATATATATATATATATATATATATATATATATATTTTTTTTTTTTTTTTTTTCTTTTCATGAGGTAAATACACTTTTTTGGATGAACTGTCTCTTTAAAATACTAGACCTACTGTAGTAGATATACAAAATATTGAATCAATGAGAAATCTGAATTTCATTGTTTTAGCAGAGGGGAAAGTGCAGTACAAACAAACCCTTAGGGCAAAGGTCACTTACCTCAGCATGTGGCCACCACAGTGAAATACCACTCTACACATAAAAACAGCCATGACTTCTCTACTGACCTATATATGTCTACGATGAAATACAATAGCGGTCCCTTTTGTGCAATAAAATGTCACAGAAACAAGAAAAACAGCAGAGTCAGCGGAGAGGAATCTTATAAAGGTTCAAAGTGATGGAAAGTCGCCTTTGTTTTTGGATTCTCCACTTAAATATGCTGGTCTTTGATGAACCGAGAAGGAGGAGGAAAAGGTGCTGATAGCATTTGAAGAGTTCAGAATGGAGGACAGAAGAGAAACTGCGCTGAGTGCCAACATCTGGTTCCAGTAAAGCAGCACACATTGTACCAACAGGAGAAAGAAGAATGTCCTGACGCGAGTCATAGCCAGCATCATTTCAAAACGGCAATTCACATTCTAAAACTGTAAAACACGGTGTTGGCTCCATGTCCTTGGTAAAGTCATTTACACTACTTAAGTAAAAGCACATTTTCTGTGTTCGGTAAGATGGAAAGCATCTGTCCATGACCAATGTGGGGAACAAAGACACTTTCGTTCAACGTTTCAAACAGGCTTTTATTTTCTGCCTGCATCAAAGTCAGGCCAGTAAAAGAAGGTTACATGTTCACTCTGCATTTCCAGCTTTGTAAAAGGAACAGGAACGTATTTACTGTGGCATTTCCTCCTCTAAAAGTACCATGGGGGATGGTGAAGTAAACGGGATGAAAATGCCATGCATGGAAAGGAAGAAACGGTACTGCTAAAGTGACTGAAATTACTCTTGTCCTCTCATCACTTTTACTTCAGCAGTCCTGACGCTTAAAGGCTTAGGGTTTCCAAGACTTGCACTGCCATAAAGATCAACCGGGAGTTAATGACAAACATTCTCTTGAACTGAGATCATACCTGCAACCACAAGTATATGGACTCACCAAAGCTAGTTAAAATAGCACAGCAGTCCAACGATGTGTTTGCTGTAAATAATGAGAACTATTATTTAAGCTCCTACTATATACATATCTACATATGAGGTCATTATCACTCTCAGGACTCCCGTGGTTCGTCTGGGAAGTGTAAAAAAAACGTTGTAGAAATTATGTTTATTGGGAAAATATTGAATCAGAATTATTTAAGTGAGTTTTTATTTTTATTCTAAATTAAAAAAGTTCCATTTGTTCCTGTTTTGCTTAACATTCACACTCATTTTTAAAGCAGAACAACTACTAATTGGATTATATGGGGGCTGTTGATTAGTGTGGTGGGTTAAGACATGATTTACAGCACTTCTGCAGAACCTAAAACAGCATTTTAAGTTAGAAAATAAACACAATTCTCACTTCAAATAATCATTAAATCACGCAAATCTAATAAACTTGTTGATAGCAGTAAATTACTCCATATAAAAGTACAAGAAAAGGTTGAAGAATGCGCTCAATGAATATTTTGAATATTTATGAACTAGATGCTTATTATAATTATAAGCAAATAATGCTACCAATATGAGTTATAATATAAGAGAAGAACATTGAAGGATGCTGAGGGATGACTCTCAACTTGCTCAGATGCGATGGCTTCTCTTCAGGCCACTGTATATGTATATGTATGCTTTATATTTTGTGAAAGAACTTAGTTAAATGAATGAATTTGTGATGGCATTTTTATCAGTCGAGAATTTTTCAATTAAACAAATAAAGACCTGCTGCGAAAAGATCTATGTATTGAATCTTCTTTGTATTTTGTAATTGTATTTTAATGCTTGTATTGAATTTTAATGGGCAACATTGTAACTAGTAAAAGGACAGGACACTCTTAAACACTGTCATTTTTAGAGATACTTTTGGCTTTTGTGTTGATTTCATATTTTAGCTGACCCAGAGTTCAAATGTGGATGTTTTGAGGGGTCTTGTTTGACAACTATTCAAATGACAGCACCAACAAAACAATCACAAATTAACTTTGTTTTTATTGAACCAAATCTACCAAATGTGATCACACCTTACACAATTTGTAGTAAATCAATCTTTAAAAAAGACACAGATGAGCTCTAAATGTTTCTGGATCTCGTCAAATGAATTAAAATTCTAATAATGCTATTCTTTCTTTTTTGTTTGTGTGTTATTTAAGGTCTACCATAGGGAAGCTATTTACTAGATAAATGCCATTGAGTGTGGTGTCAACATGAAGCTGTTTGATATTGGATGTGGTCACTGTTGAATGCAAACATCTGTGAATATAGGTCAGACCAGCAGCCAACATCAGGGTCCTATCAAGCTCTTTTGCAGCGCATTTGTCACGAGAACCAACAGGTCCTATTTGCAAACAAAAAAGGTCTGCGATATGTTAGACACAGACCTTAATGAAAGATATCTCTTCTATATACCTGTTAAACTTGATGTTTTAGTAATATACCGACGACTCAATGGTCAGTTCATTAGATGACTTTTATTGAAACCCACAATTTTACATTTATATAGGCTAAAATAGCATGTTTTCACTGTACTGTTAATCTGTAAAAATCCTATAAGGCGGTACAGCGACAGGCATGAGGACTTTAGACAGTATGAGCTTCTGCTGCAGTGAATGGAAACAGATACAAATAAATAAATTAAATAATAACCAAACACATTATATACATGTAACGGCCTCTTAAAGCACGGGTTCCATAATAATAGCAAAATTGCTAGGTTTTCTGACACAGTATTCGTTCTAGGAAAACGTGATAGTACTCACCTACGTGGAGACAGTAAGCGGAGCTCGCATACTCCGAACCGGCGGAGAAAACGCGGCTTGACGAGACAGTCGACGCGTGGCCGGTAGTGCGGTATATTCCCGTGATGTGGCTGTGAGATGTTGACGCTGAAGGTCTTATTCCCGGGATGTTGGCAGCTCTCTGGAATGCGCTCCGATGTTACTGCAGATTCGGTAACTCCCCCTCAAAGTGAAATTTAACCCTCTAAAGACCGGTTTCACTGCGTCCAGAGCATCACACAACACACGATTCGTGTCAGCCAGTGCTCCTTATGGCATCCCACTGGCTGTTTCCTACTCCTGCGGTTTTATACCGTGTTAGTTTATTTATTTATTTATTTATTTTCTTTTTTTCTGGATAAATGACGTTCAGTTGTGCATTACAACACACCACTGCTGTTTCCAGTCAATGAAATTATGCAATACTTTACCGTCAACAGACTGTACAAGCTGTACCGTCAACAAAACTCTCCGCAGTGAACATTCACGTGTTTATACCATTTAATTTCATTAGCTTTTATTAATTTAAGGTAATAGATTATAGTTTACGAGTTTATGTTTGGAGACCAGATAGGCTGGTCTGTATACTGTTATAATATACTGTTTTAAATTTTGTTGTATAATGGTCAAATATTCATTATTCAGTTTGACTAATAAAAATGAAATATGTTCTGACCTTAAAGGGATGTTTCACAAAACGTTGTTAACATTTTACTCATCATTTACTCACATGTTTGAGTTTCTTTCTTTTTTGAATGCAAAAGCTGTAACTATTAACTTGCATGGTGTTTGTTTTTCCTTCTATGGAGGTCAATGGTTACAGTTTTTTTTTCAGCTTTCTTTAAATATATTAATGAATGTGCAACAGAAAAAAGAAACTCATAAAAGTTACAAACCACTTATGGGTGATTAAACAGTGAGTAGATTTTAATTTGTTGGTGAACTATCCTCTAGATAAGTGAATATTCAATCTTTCATTCATTTTTTAGTTTTCTTTTTGGCATAGTCCTATTATTAATCAGGGTTGACGGGTCGCCACAGCGCATTGAACTGCCAACTTATTCAGCACATGTTTTACACAGCAGATGCCCATCCAGCCGCAACCCAACACTGGGAAACAACCATACTCTCTTGCATTCATATACACTACGGCTTATTCAATTCACCTATAGCGCATGTCTTTGGACTGTGTGGGAGGAGTGAACCCACGCAAACGCAGGAAGAACATGCAAACTCCACACAGAAATGGCAACTGACCCAGCTAGGGCTCGAACCAGCAACCTTCCTGCTGTGAGGTGATCGTGCTACCCACTGCGCCACCTTGATGCCACAGGTAATTATAATATACGTTAATTATTTTTGAAATTACCTGTGGTAAATGTTTATTGCATTTTAAATGTTGGTCAAATGTACTATTAGCAAGTATTGTATTATAAGTTAAATGTATAATTTACTGTGCAGTTAGGACACATTCGAAATATAACAAAATTTAAAGCATTATTCTTTTGATGCTTGATAACAATTTTTCTTTGAAACAGATGAAACACCTTCATCAGATTATCTTATATATATATATATATATATATATATATATATATATATATATATATATATATATATATATATATATATAAATGGGTACTTCTGAATTCAACTGTATGTATAAAACACAGCATCAATGACAAATAACAAGACACCAGATAGGTACAGTAGGATTAATTTTTTTTTTTACCAATTTCAAAGCTCAATTTCAAAATAGGTAGCCCGTTCCACATTTTGGCACCTACCACAAAGAAAGCTCAATCTCCTTTTTTCTTTAATTTCGATCTGGGAATGACTAGTATTTTCTGGTTCAATGACTTAAACATCTGCCAGATGAGTCTAGCCATTTTATACCTTAAAAGGATACATTACATTTTGTAACTCAATTCTAAAACATATCAGCAACCAATTTAGATAGCACAGGATAGAAGTAATGTGTTCAAACTTGCAGGTGCCAGTAAGAAGCCTAGCGACTGCATTTTGGACCACTTGAAGACGATTTATATAAGATTGGCCGATACCTTTATAAACTGAGTTACAGTAGTCCATGCGTGATGATACAAAGGCATGGATTAATCTCTCAAATTCTGCATGAGTCCAAAAAGCCTTTCACTTTGGCTAATATTCTCCGGTACAAAAAACAAGATTTAATTACTGCATTTACCTGTTTGTCAAATAGAAGTGCCGAATCTAGAATCTTTATGTATTTAGTATATGTATTGTAGTATATCGAATACTATATAAATTATTATAATATATAATAATGTTAAAATGAGGGCGATGCAGTGGTGCAGTAGGTAGTGCTGTCGCCTCACAGCAAGAAGGTTGCTGGTTTGAGCCTTGGTCGGGTCAGTTGGCGTTTCTGTGTGGAGTTTACTTGTTCTCCCTGCATTCGCGTGGGTTTCTTTCGGGTGCTCCAGTTACCCCACAGTCCAAAGACAGATGGTACATGTGAATTGTAATTTGTCCGTAGTTTGTGAGTGTGTATGGATGGTTCCCAGAGATAGGTTTGCAGCTGGAAGGGCATCCGCTGCATAAAACGTGCTGGATAAGTTGGCGGTTCATTCCACTGAGGCGACCCCGGATTAATAAAAGGACTAAGTTGAAAAAAAAAATGAATGAATGTTAAAATATATTGATATTTTTAGAAAGTGAATGTTAATGTAATAAATGAATCACACAACTGTTATGCATAGATTTATTTTTAATGGTTCCCAATTCTCTCAATCCATAATGTTCTATCATATCAAATTTTCAATTAAAGTCTCCAACATTTTTTATTTAATCTATGATACTGTTCATGGGTGGATACTCTTCCCCCAGTCTGTGGAAGAAATTACAGTGTGTCTTGAACAACGGAGGATGAGACAGTAAATGAGAGATCGTGAGGGAGAGAGAAGGAAAGCGAGGGAGTTGTTTTCTCAGTCCTCCAGTTGATTGACAGTTAAATGGACAGTATTTTTAGAGCAGGTTTTGCATTGTCTGAGAGAACATTCTCTTGTTTTAAAATAGAAGCCTGCTCTGAAAACAATATCATATACCACAAGGCATGCAGATTAATCTGATCCTTCTGGTGAGTTAGTTATTTTTTATTTCATGTTCATTGTTTATTCAATCTTTTTAGTGTCTCTAGAAGAACTTCAGGCCAGGAAACTAAGATGTGGCCCTAAAGAGAGAACCATGACTGCTGAGGGAAGTGTTTTTTTTTCCTCCCTGACGTCAATGAATGAACAACATGTACAGTACAGTACTAAAGGAAATGAGTGTGTTCTTTATGTCAAAAGGGGGCATTATAGAAATAATGTGAATATTGAGAGGAACATAGGCCTTGTATTATACAACAACATGATATTTGAGTGCCCGCCACCCTTTATTTAATAATAAAAAAATTGTTTTACATCTACACCTAAAAATTGTGAGACCACTTGAAAATTCAAAGTACACACACACGCACGCACACACGCACGCACACACGCACACACACACACACACACACACACACACACACACACACACACACACGCACGATATACAGTTGACTTTATATTACTCTTTCCTTTTTTAAATATTTCCTAAATGATGTTTAACAGAGCAAGGAATTTTCACAGTATTTCCTGTAATATATTTTCTTCTGGAGAAATTCTTATTTGTTTTATTTATTTCAGCTAGAATAAAACCAGTTTTTATCATTTAAGACACGTTTAAAAGATCAATGTTATTTGCCCCGTTAAACAATATAGCATTTTTTTGATTGTCTACAGAACAAACCATCAACATACAATGACCTAATAAACATAGTTAAGCCTTTAAAAGTCACTTTATTCATTATCAAATATTATTTACTGTCATCATGGCAAAGAAAAAAGAAATCAGTTATTAGAAATGAGTTATTAAAACTATTATGTTTAGAAATGTGTTGAACAAATCTTCTCTCTGTTAAACAAAAATTTAAGAAAAAATAAACAGGGGGCTAATAATTTGACTTCATCTACATAAAGAAATCCTGCAAAAATAGTTGTAAATTGGCAGTTTTTTGTATTTTGTGATTTGTGTTTTTATTTTTCCATGATTATTTATGCTTTTTGAATAGCATTATTACTTTCTTCCAAAAACATTTGTTCTTATTTTAAATTATTCTTATAATAAAATATATTATCTTCAAAGGGGGAAAAGATTTTAAAAGAGCATACACACACACATATACACACACACACACACACACACACACACACACACACACAGACACACACACACACACACACACACACACACACACACACACACACACACACACACACACACACACACACACACACACACACACACACACACACACACACTCACTCACAAATATTTAAAGAAAGAAAAAAAATTAAATGGGGCTAATAATTCTGACTTCAACTGAATTTATATATATTATATATATGTACACCGCTGTATTTTAATGGAGTAATGTTGTATACAATCACTGGCCACATTATTAGGCACACTTGTATGTATGAATGTAAATAATTCCCAAATGATGTTTAACAGAGCAATGAGATTTTCACAGTATGTCTGATAATATTTTTTCTTCTGGAGAAAGTCTTATTTGTTTTATTTTGGCTAGAATAAAAAACATAATTTAAAGGACAAAATTATTAACCCCTTTAAGATATTTTTTTGATAGTCTACAGAACCAACCATCATTATAAAGTAACTTGCCAAATTAACCTAACCTGCCTAGATAACCTAATTAACCTATTTAAGCCTTTAAATGTCACTTTAAGCTGTGTAGAAGTGTCTTGAAAAATATCTAGTCAAATATTATTTACTGTCATCATGGCAAAGATAAAATAAATCAGTTAATAGAAATGAGTTAATAAAATTATTATGTTTAGAAATGTGTTGAAAAAATATTATGACTATATATTATATAAAAAAAATATTATAATATATAAATGACAGAAAATTAAAACTAAATTAAAACTTATTATTGTTATTAAAAAAAAACAGGTTTAATCCACCAAATATTTTTTTTCTTCTCTTTTCTTAAGTTAAAGCATTGGCAATGTGGCTATAAACGTGTCTGAATATTTCATCTTTATTTTATTTATTTATTTACTTTTTGTGTTTTTTTGTTTTGTTGTCTTTTATCTTTTTTTTTTACATCGCTGTATGCTGCATCTAAGTGAAATATATTAAGGTCATCCTAAAGCTGCCTTGGACATTTCCGAAAAAGTGCTCATATTGCACATTTACTCAACAAATCTTGTTGAAAGCCGTATGACAAACTGTGACTCAAAGAAGACACAAAAAAGTGAAAAGGATATGAGCGATCGTCACATTGCCCTTGAAATGACAG